ACAAACACATGGTACGCCTGTGAATATAATTGAAATGTCAATGGCACGAAGAATGAAGGACTTGGATAGTATCACCTTGCAACAGATTTACTACAATCGTGCAGACATAATGAGGTAAATTTAACAAATATCATAATTATAACCAACATAATCTTTTGTTGAGATATTTATATCCATAAAAAATGTTTCCAATTACAGGGAAAGTACTACTGCTTAAGAGGATTTGTCGCCAAAGTAATGAACAAAACATCTCTATGGTATGAATCGTGCAAAAAATGCACCTCCTCTGTTAACAAGAATGACGACAACAAGATGTGTAAAAAGTGCAACGATGTCGTGGAAACAACTCCAAGGTAATAAGAAAAAACAAAAGGTTTAGACCTTATATTTTATAAACAAAACAATTAATTAAAACAATTGTACTATTTGCAGATATAGGTTGGTACTAAATGTCGTAGAAGCGAACCTCAATGTCACAGTAACACTTTTCGAAGATGTCGGGATGGTTTATGTGGGGTGCTCTATTGAAGAATACATTAGATCTATTGAGCAGGTAAATAAATTTTTAAATTTATAACTCAAATCCATCTTCAAATACGCAAATTATAACTCAAATTCTTCTTCAGATACTCAATTATAACTCAAATTTGGTTCCATATTCATTAGGGAGAAGAATCATCCGATTATTATCGAGGCTTGAGCTTGCAATCAACCACCGAATTCCAATTTCTCATACAAATAAATCATAAGTCTTACAACTCAAGAGGAGAGATGAACGTGGTTGCCGAAACAATTGCAAGATTACCACCTATCAATGATGTTGATATGAAAGAGAGGTCATCGAAATCTCCCAAAGCTCCAAGTCGTCTGCCAAAGAATCAAGAGATGTCACAAAAAAAGCAAGTTCAAAGAAGAAAATGCGTCGCTGACAAGATAAAGGAAGACGCCAATGATAGTGTCATTGAAATCGACGATAATGAAACAATCAACAGTCTTAAAAAGAAATGTGTACGGAAAAATTCAAAAGGAAAGGAAAAGAAGACATCCTCTCCGATCATCACCATAAAGAAAGAGAAGAGTTGAAGATCATAGTTACTTATCTTTATTATTTAAATTTAAGAACATTATTTAGTTACTTTGTTTGAATTTAAGAACAATCTTTTGTTAGTTACTTTGTTTAAATTTAGGAACAATCTTTTGTTACGTACTTTTTTGCAGTAGTTTATTTACTTTACATTCTTAAAAATTACATCTACTCTCTATTTTATCTTGGAACATTAATATTTTATCCCGATTAAAATTGAGTTTAACAAAACTTAATAACTTGTAACAAACAACTCCACATTAAAATTAATTAACAAGAAGATATTTTCACCACGTGCAACGCACGTGATCTTTGCTAGTACTAATAAATACTGTTAAATATATACTAATAAATATTGTTAAATATTCATAGCAATATTAGGTTTAAGTTGAATAGGGAAGCTTTGACTGATGAATCTATGGTTGTGGGCAATTGGATTGTGGGCCAGAGATATTGAATTAGGCGGCCTCACATTTTAGCCCCTTAGCCAATTAAATTGATGGATCTAAGCCCATTAGCTCATTAAACTTCAGTTCAATTTTTTTTCTATGTCAAATTTTGATTCGATTCTATCCTTGTTTTGGTGAATGTTCCAAGTGTGTTGGATTTTTTCTTGTACAAAACAATGCTTATAGACAGTTTCGTGTTATTTTGATAGGAATAACATTCAACTAAGTAAACTATGTAGGAAAAAATTGTGAATGAAATTTTATACTTATTTATTTAATTGACATGTCAATTTTGCTATGGTGCCATCGGATGGCTCGGCTTATGTAGTCACTCACAGTTATTCACAAAATAATGTATTGACACGTATCCTACAATAAATACTCGTAAATGTTTTAACTTCTTCGTAAAAGTTTTAGAACTGCGTCTTCATATTGTACTAGAATTAGAATTGGTTTAATAAGCACTTTCAAATTGAAGTTACGATTGTAATAAGAATGGCACACTTAGTCTGATGAGAGATAATGGGAGTAAACATTGTCCTCCACCATATTTAATTTAATTACTTCGAGCCAACTATTTAGTCAAAATTTCATTTTGTTGTAGGTTTGGCGTCTTGCATTATTAAGGCCATCCAAGCGAGCATAATTTCGAGTCATTTCACGAACTACATAGTCGAGGTGAGGATTTTACTACACGCTTATTCTCTTTAATCGCACGGTATGATGATTGTTGTATGTCATGTGCTATGGCCTTTGGGAAAATGGCAAAGGGCCTTTAGGAAATTATATGCGGTAACGGGCCTTCGGGCGAATAATTATGTTTTACGACGTGTGTACAATGGTTCTGATATCGGTTATTAATTTGAATAATTACGGAGCATTTTCTCCATTGAGATGTTCCATAATCATCCCACGTTTAACTTTTTCAGGTCAGGGCTCGGTGATTTGTTGGCGGTGGGACACTAATTGCTAGGTTTCATTCTTGCCATTTACATATTATCAAATAAATGATTAAGGTTTGTTATGTTTGGAAAATGTTACATTTGTTCATTTTATGAGAAGCTTTGATGGGTCTCCTCCTAGATCTGGAGTGAACCGGTTGAGATGAGCTATGATCTGTCTGAATCGCCTCTAGATCGTCGCGAATACCTGCAAGAACCCAACGCCAGAGGGGTTGCCGGGGAAGGGCCTCCGACGCTTAACGTCAATAAACAGAAGAGAGGAAGATGGAAGCTCTATAATCTAGAGATGTAATGTATGTAGAAGTGTGTAGAATGTGGGAAAGATGGTTAGGGTTATACCTCAGTCCCCTTTATAGGAGAAATACCTGCCTAGACTGCCCTCGGTCAGCCTGCCCGAGATTTGATCTAATATGTATCTGAGTCATCATGAGATTCCTTCTTACTCATTTACTGCCTCTAGATCATGCTCTTGTAGTCATAGTGAACTCAGCTCTCTGCAAACCTATAGTCATAGAGACCTCTAGCAGCGGAAAACTCTAGTCACGGAGACCTCTAGCAGCGGAGACTTCTCGTCACAGAGACTTCTAGTAGCGAAGAACTCTAGCAGCGGAGACCTCTAGCAACAAAAACCTCTAGCAGCAGAGACCTCTAGCATGTCGAGATGAAATGACCTCTAGTAGGTCAAGATGACCTCTAGTAGCGGAGATCTCTAGCAACGAAGACCTCTACTTAAACTCCTTAGAGCACGTCGACTTTCTCATACTAAGTCACAGAGAGCACCTCTACTTCCGCATACTTAGTCGTGAGGAACTCTTCGTAGACTCCGGTTCACAAGTAGGGCTATATCAAACTTATTTCTTTACAAATATTTGAAATTGAGTTTTGTTTGTATAAAATCTTTTAAACTGACGTTAATTGTTACATTTCAAGCTCTTGTCATTTCTTTTTTATCAAATAAATGATTATAGTTTTAAATTGAGTACGCTAAGTATAAAGACCTTTTACTATCTGAAGTTGTGAAATATAACATTTCACTTAATTTGTGAAAGTTTTGTACTTAAAAATATTGCTTGTTGTGAGGATGTTGGTGTTTTAAAATAATGCGTGTCGATGCAACTATTATTGTTGGTTTCGATATGCCTTCATTTCTAAAATTAGAGTGTTGATTATTGGCTCAAATATTGTTCAAATTCCATTAAGCCCCTTTAAAATGCCATATTTACCTTTTTGAAAATCGGGACGTTACACATTGGTTGCAAGAAGTCGGTCGAAGAGTCAAAATAAGAATATACGAGAAAGATCGCGTTCCAAGGCCAAGCTCGACAAAGCGAGTGTGCTTTCTGCCATGAGAAGGGACTAGAATAAAGTTTGTCCTTAGTTGAAGAAGAAGGGAAAAATCTCTTCAAAGATGCATATGTTGTTGAGATTGGAAGTGAAAGCTCAGAATTTTCATTTGTGGTTTCACCTTCATCATCTCATCCATGCGAATAGATTTTTGGATTCAGGATGCACTTACCATATGTCTTCCATAAGGGAGTGGTTCTTTAATTTTCAAGAGATCAATTAAGGGGTTGCCATATGGGTCATTATAAGACTATATTTATCCACAACCCAACCCAACCTAACCCAACCCAGTAATAAAAAATTATTTCTCTCTCTTCCACCTAAAAAACTCAACTTTTAACAACCTACATATCTTTATTTCCAACCTAACCCAACTCAACACAACATAATATTTATTTTATTTTTATTTATTAATTATTATCTACAATAAATTTTTTGTCATTGTTTTAGTTGTGATAAGTTAATTAAAAAAAATCTATAATAAAGTCCTAATGATTTCAAAAATTATAATTTTACCATCTTTAACCAATCTCTACTAACTAGTAGTAGCGGCGAGTAAGGGTCGAACCCAAAGGGAGTGTGAATTAAATTGTGAAT